CAAGAGGAGGACAAGGCCCAGCCACAGAGCCCAGCCACAGAGTTGACAGAGAGGAGGACAAGAGGAGGACAAGGCCCAGCCACAGAGCCCAGCCACAGAGTTCAGGGGCGCGGCCAGTGAGTGTGGCCAGCTCTTTTCTTTCTAAGATAGAACCCCAACAGTAAACTGTTTGGGGAAAAACTGCAACGATGGCTTCTAGCACAAAAACAATCGTTCGACAAGCTGTTTGCAGTTGGTTTGCCATTGGCAGAAGAATCACTGGACGCTCAAAGCAATTCTTTTAACAGTTGGGTTGACAGGCCTTTGTCTATTGCTTCACTTCAATAGGAAACGCATCCTCGAAAACATCCACTACATATTCATAATAAAACGAACAACCTATTTGGTGGAAAGCTTGATCACAGAATGCCCAACCCAGACCCAGCTGCCTGCAGCCAAGGAAAGAGCTGCTTGAGCAGCTGCTCGCTTCTCCAAGACGTGCCTTGTCAGACAGGAAGTGGCTGTGGGGAACTGCAGGAGTTGCACTGGTATTGAATCCCCTGTGAGTGTTCATTCAAGGGGCCTCTTCATCCTGTTTGCCATAGACAAAAAACATTTAGAAAGTTTACAACAAGGTCATGACCTTTGCAGCGTAGGTCTTGCAAAGCTCTTGAGTTACAAAGCAGCTCTTAAGACTTTGTTTGGTTTGTTTCTGTCTGTTGTCTCAGAAACTTTCCTGCGAAGACCCATGAGGGAATGTAGGCTAGCATGGCTTGGGCGCCCTGGCAATGGCAAAGTTCTGGAACCCGAGCCTTTTTTGTGGAAAATTCATCCATGAACATGCACTGGCCAGATCTTCACATTGAAGCGGTTCAAAGTTAAACTTGTGGAAGAAAAACATGCCACAGATAGTCTGCTGCTAAACATTTTTTCACATCCACAGCTTCTCTCGAGTATTGTTTCAAAAAGTGTCTTTCTTGTTTCATGCACTTCTGATGTGGGACTTCCGGCTGTACAGTATGCCCCAATACTACATGCTACATGCGGGAAACCGGACCAGAGGCAAGACAGAAAGACCAGGAGCCTTATTGCTCACAGCTTCACAGCTGAGTGGGCAGGGACAGCAATGGCTTGGGTGACCACGACCTGTGGACGCACTGGCATGAGACCAGTGGTGGCCCAGTTCACTGACCAAACTACTGCGCAGTGCTTCTTGCGCCACATGCTTGCAGGAAACAAGGCAGCACATTCAGCCTGCTTGGCGCTTGCTGCCACCTCACTGTCTTCAGTCTTCACCTCCTTCTTCACAACAGGCTCTGGAACAAAGGTGATGTCCAAGTTGCGCTGGAGCTTCCACATGCCAGGATTGTCGGCAGTTGGGCTCTCAACCAGATCATGGTAGCAAATCTTGCAGCTTGGAGATTTGATGCGCTTGGCATTCACAACGTCTTGAATTGGCTTGACCACGGAGCTGAACATCACTTCAGGCAAGGAAGTCAAATCATAGAGAAGTTCCCTAGGTTCCTCTGGTGCCTTTTGCTTGTAGGAACCCTTCCCGAACCCAGCCAAGATGAAGCCCTTGGCCAACTTCAACTCTGAGTTGCCCTTGTTCACAAGCCAAATGGTTTTCTCAGCTGAATGGCGGACCTCCACAAAGGCACCCGGGCTCTTGAGATTGGTCAGGTGGATCTCAAGCAACACTGGATCCGTCCCCATGTCCTCAAGCTTCACTGTGTTCAGGGCATCTACCTTTGGTGGAACAGCACGGGTCCTCTTGGAGCCTGGAGCAGAAGTGTCTTCCTCAACCTTCCGCTTGTTCTTGCCATTCTCTGCCACAGGCTCTGGGCCAAACTCCTCGACCACTGCGTTCATGAGGTCACAGAACTCACTTCCAAAAGTTGGGTGCGAGCCCCACTCCTCACAGTTCAAGCGCACACACACATACAGTACACATTTACATGGTTGTCTAGCATGTTAAAACTGGTCGAAAGAACACAAAGCAAAGCTAACAACTCACAATGACAAGCTCCTTGACCATTGCATCGCCAAACTTTGGGTACAAGCCATCTGGGCCACTCGCAACCAGCACCTTGAGCTTTGGAGCAAGAGGAGGCTCATTCACATGCTCTTTGGGTAGTTCCAAAGGCACACGTTGGCAGCCTGGAATGATCAAAGACCCGTCCAAGTGTTGCCGGGTGACCTCCTCCTTCTTTGCCTGGACAAACCATTCATAGTTCACACCCTCATCTGTCAGACCAAAGAAGGCTGAGGGCACAGTCAAGGAACCACGTTTTTGCAACCAGGCATTGAATGAGTCTCCCACACCAAGGTTGAGGTCACAGATGATCACACCAGTCTTGCCTTGCAAGGTCACATTGTCAAGGCAACTGTCCAGCAATTTGCTGAAAGCAGACAAGCCAATTTGCTCATATTTCCGAGCCCCGCTCACCAATCCATCATAGTCTGTCGTTGTTGGCAGCGCTGTTGGATCAGGGTCTTCTATGCGCACCATGCTCGAAGATGCCAGCTGCTCTGCTGGCTGTGTCCTGCCTTCCTTGACAACGCTTGCATGCCTCCAAATCCACTCTTTCTCATCCGTGCTGATGCCACATGCCACACGGCCTCTGTACACCAAAGGTCTGGAATCCCTCGCATCCTTCCTACTCTCAAAGCACAAAGAGAACGTGCGGTCAATGTTCAGGCTTGCCCCTGACAGCAGCTGCAAGGTTGCCACCTCCTGTAGGTAAAGTTGTCCACGTTTGTAGGTAAATTCTGGTAGAAGAATAAGACCCACACGGCGGTTGGACTGGTTGAGAAGCACTCCAAGCGCCTGAGTTCCACATTGCTGCGCAGCATTCTTCAGGCTGCAGGCTGCAGACCAATTGACCAAGCAAACACAGGCCTGAAACGCTGGCCAAATTCATGAAAATCTAACTATGTAACCCCCTAACAGCTGTCTCCCAACATTCATAGCTTGCTTACCTTCTCCTGGGCAGACTAAGTTTGAAATCCTGCAAATGAAAAAATTGACAGGCTTGAAACATTCCAAGGCACTGTATTGTCCTGGTCCAGCGCATAGCTGCTGCAAAACTGCTTCTCAAACTGCTGGAAAGCCTGCGCAACCTCAGCAGCCTTGGTGGAACATAGAACCTTCACATTGGTCTGGAAGAAAGCGTCTGCAGCGGTTGAACTGACCTCATGTGCATGCTTGCGATGTGTCAAGAGCTGATGGTGCACAGCTCCTTCATGGGTAGCACGGCGAGTTCTTGCCACGCGCAAACACTGCAAGTCATACTCAATCTGCTGCTTGAGCAATTTGAATCCATCAGACTCCAAGTCTGTCATTGCCACAGACTTTCCAGGCAGCTTCTTTCCAGCTGCGAGAGCATGGGCATCCATCCTGCAAGCATCAAGCTTTGCGCAAACAACATCTCACTATTCACCCATCACCAAAGTATTCCAACACACCAAAACAAAACAAACACAACAAACATTTTCCATAGCAAAGCCAAAGGGCAAATCAGCAAGACTCTTGATCCCACGTGGCACTAGCTTCTCATCCCTGGACTGCAATGCACTCTGGACCTCCAACAAGACGGAGAGCTCTCCCTCGGCAAATGGAGCCAACCACGCCTTGTTGACTTCCTCATCACTGATGGCCACCTCACTTTGCATAGTCAAAGCAATGCCAGCTGCAAAGGCTGCCTGTTCAGCCAGCTTTTCCAACTCACCACGGGACAACTTTTTCCGCTTGTCCTCATCGGTGCTGGTGAACTGGGCAATGGCACGTTTCAGCATCAACAAGCATGAATGATCCGTGGCCTTGCTCCACTCTGGCCAATGACCTTGGCACCCATTCCGCCATTTCCACCCTGGCAACACCTTCTTCGAGCTGAGGCAATCATCAGAGAAGCAGCAGCTAGACCAGCCACATTGCTGGACATGCTCCCGGACAAGTTCCAAAGCACAAGCAGGGAAGATATCAAGAAGGTTCTTCACTGATTGCGCTTTTTGCCCCAGCAGTTGGTGCTCTTTGGGCACATCTGAGTTGAAACGGCGGATAATGCTTGGTACATCAGTTTCTCCAAACCCCCTCAAAGTCTGTAAAGTTTGGACCCATGTCATGATCGATGGGCCTTTCCGCAATTCACCCCGCACTGACACCTTGAAATTGTGCAAGACTTCTTGGACTTTGGAATGCCCCTCTGTGATGTGACAGTGGATGTACTTGATTGATGTTGCAAGCTCTGGATGCACCTCAGATTTCGAAGCAAGAGCCACAAATCTTCCTACCAAGAAAGGCCAAGAGACCCTAAAAGGCAATTTTTGGGCGTGACCTTTTTAACATGGTTTAGAAGCTTTAGAGACATAAGAAAGGTCGCGTCCAAAAATTGCCTTGTAGGGTCTGTTGGCTCATGTTGGTAGAACTATCAACCAAGACACTACCCACACCAAACACACCAAACCATTTTCTGAACACAACCCAAGGGGCTGTTTAAGGCAATGTTATTGTCCATGCATATCGCCAGAATGGTAAGCAAGGTATGCATGCGGGCCTTGCCTTTGACATAGCCGACGCTGAACGGTGGCAAAGGACCAAGTACTTCCCAGGGAGGAGGGAGTAGACACAGAGTTGAACTTGAGATCAAATCACCCTTGTGAGTGCACAAAAGCGGCTCTTCACTACTGCAAAAGCCTTGCTTCAGAATGAGCCTGGCTAAAGAAAGCGCAAGGGTCTGATCAGAGTCAGGCTTCACAGAGCACTCTGAGTGGAAAGAAAACGCTGCCAAAGGCAAACACTGGACTTCAGACCTGTCTAACTTGTCCAAAGTCACTGTGGGCAAAGGGTGTTTGAGACAATGGCGATACACATCAGGCTCAGCAACATCATACAGGTAGTTCATGAACTCTTTGGCGTCACTGGTTGATGCAAAACGGTTCCTCAAGAATTGTCCAGTTGACCCAAATTTGTTCAAGACAGTTTGCATGGCATCCATGATCTGAACAGTGAAAGTCTCAACCCCATCCATGCTGGGTTCTGGGATGACCCCAGCTTCAAAGGCGACAGCAGAAGACTCATCAGCGTCTTCCACCATAGGAGAAGGGTCCTCCTCCTTAGGATGTGACTCTTCCTTAGGGACACCTGGCACAGCTGCTGGTGTTTCTTGCTTCACGGCAAGACTGTTGACCATCAGGGCCAAGGCTGTTGAAGAAGTCACCAAATGTCACTGGACCAAAGATAGATTCAAAGGTCACAAACTCTTGGAGCAAAAGGCTACAGAAAGCAAACAATAAGTCCTCCTAGTGGGAAGCCAGAAAGCATTCACATCCATGGTGACCGTTCAAGACTCCAGATTCTGACACTTAGAGCGGTGCAAAGCCAGAAGATGTCCAGCTTTGGTCCTGCACTCAGGTAGCAAAAGAGCCTCTAGAAGTGAGTGCGCAAGTGCAGCAAGAACCCTTTCCCTTAGCTATCTTTTTGGTGACAACAACACCTTTGCATATCTGCAAATTCTGTCTTTGTTTCTTCTGAGAATCTAACCACATGTGTTTCCTAAATCCGGCGGATTTTCTCAACAGTAAAATCCGCCGGATATGGCACAACCATGTCAAAATTCCATCAGTTCACCCTTGCATCAACAGCCAATGGTGGAGATCTATGGGAAAAAATTTTTCCCATTGAAAATCAAGGGCCACCCTTGAATCCATTAGATCAACCCCAGTTAGACATATGAACCTTTAATATCTGGGAAATAAGCCCCCCCCCCAAATATGTAAGGGAAAAATTTTTTTCCCATACATCTGACCCAGGCCAATGCCATGCCAGGCTGATCTGAGGGGGGTCTCACTGGATCCGGCGGATCTTGAAGCAAACAATATCCGGCGGATCTCATTTGACCAAGTAGTCTAAAATCTAATGCGACCAAAAAGAATCACCTTCTAATTTGGCATGGCAACCCCTTTATTCATTGCCTTTGAAAAGGGGGGTTGCGTCACCCAAAACGCAAAATCCCCAAACACATTCTCTGTCCAAGTCCACCCCATGGTCACCAGTCAGGCCTCACCAAAGAATGTCTTGCGCGTCCAGTCCTGGAATGCGAGTTGCTGAGTTGAGGAGTCACATGGTGATATCTGTGCGCACAAGCCAAACACACCACAACAAGAACCAAGCAGTGTGTTTTCTGCTAGCGCAAGCCCCTAAGTTTCTGTGCTGTGCTTGGTGTCTATGGCATCTCTTGTTGGACACCATCCAAGATAGCTGACACCATCATTGGTGGGTAACACTGAGCCCACCTTGACAAACTATAACCATTCATGGACCCCTCGATCTTCACATGTGAACGGCCCAACAACTTGCAAATGCAATTGCAGCCACTAAAAATTTGGATAATGGCTGCTGAGTTTGTCAAAAATCTTGTGACTTTTTGCATGGGTTGCCCATCAGGCGCAACCAATCCAAATCTGCATTGACAAAAGCCAATGATTCGAGCCTCTGGAATCTGCTGCAAAACACGCCCAACACCTGGAGATTGCCAAGAGCTTGCACCTCCAGGATGTTCAAAGATAAATTTGCGGCCTGCCAGGCCTTGCTCCAAACACATGTCCAAACCAAAATTCAAATGGTCATCAGCTACAGCCAAACGTTCTTTCACCACTTCTGGGTTCATCTTGGGGATGTTGCAGTTGCGCTGGATAATTGAGTACATTGTGCACTCAGGGCAAGCCATCAACATCCATGGCTTGTGTAAACCCAGCAATGTCCGCGCACGCTGCTTCTCACTACTCAGAGAAGCGTCCCATCCTGTCTTCACATCTAGTGAGACACTGGCCTTCAGGCCTCTTCTCACGGCCTCAGTCACCAACCTTGGTGGTGAAAACACTTCAAAGACAGCATCATGAGGGTATGTGTGCTCTTTCTGGCACATGCACCCACTAAAAGGTGCCAAACGTGGCGCAGCCTTGCAAAAAGCATGTCGTTTCTTTCTTGTATCCATTACCCTTGCATCTCGATCAGGGTGACTTGGCATTGGCAGGACAGTGCATGTAGTCACATCTGGCGGCAAGTCAACTCCACTGGGCAGATTCCTCAAAGTCTTGCCAGCAGAAGAAGATGAAGCCTGCTTTGGTTTCACAAGTGTTCTTTTCACAGCTTTGGCCCCAATGCCAAAACTTAGCCCATGGTCATCCTGAGGCAACACTTCTACAGCTTTGGCCCTAACGCCAAAACTAATCCCGTCATCATCTGGAGGCAACACAATGTCCATTGCAAATCACAATTACCATCTACTGCTCAAAGCAAAAATGCAAAGCGGAAATGCTCAAGTGAGCAATCCAATCATGCAATCATTTAGACTTTGAAACTCTAGTTTCCATCCATTCCATCCTTTGCTTCCAAAACATGCTTCTTGCCTCTGGAGGCGTCTGCAAACATCAGACCTCAACTCAAAAGGAAACAAAATGACTGAAGCTTTGGTCACTTGGGAAAGAAAGAATGCATTGCGCTATGTCTCTGTTGGCTTGGAACAAGTGAGACATGAGTGAACATATTTTCACATCGAGCTTCCAAAGCGGTCCAGCCCTACAAACCCCAAAAGTGGGCTGCACAATGGTTCTCATGTTACTCATGCCTTTCTGCCTTGCAAGTTTTCAGCAAGAGCAAGGCCAAGCCAATGAATTGGCAGAAACACTCACGCGCCACCAGCTGCAAGGGGTGACACTTTGCACTTGCTACACCCATGTTGTCTGCATTTGGAGCAACCGTGGTAGCCTGGGCGTGTTGAGTACACCCTCTTGTTGGCAGCCACCTGTGATGCACTGGATTTCTGAGCAGGCGCCGCCTTGGCTTTGGCTTTGCTTTTGGCCTTGGGCCCAGGCCCAAAAAGACCTTTCTCAGCAGCTGCAGATCTCTTTGGCGCACCTTGGTCCAAAGACTTCCCCTTGGATGTCTTGGCTGCCTTTGCATTGGGAGCTTTTGGCACTGCCTGCTTTTTAGCGGCAGCCTTTCTGGCAGCAGCCTTGACAGCAGCAGCTTTGCCTTTGGGAGTTGGAGCTGCCACTCGAACAGCAGGCCCCAAAGCTGCGAGCGTCTCATCCTCTTCAGACGGCAAAGGACGACCTGGCCCTGGAGGCGGCAAAGCGTTCTCCTTTGGAAAGATAGGGCGGGATTGGTGGACTTCCACCCTTCTTGGTGTTCCAGGAGCAAAATCAGCAAAGGGAACAGATTCTGCATTGTCCAACTCAGCAATGCCTGTCTGATTTTGGAAGGGGTCCTCTCGAAGCTCATAGATTTTGAGCGGGTGAGGTTGCGGGTGTTCATCACGCTCTGATCTGTCACACAAACAGCGAAGGTAGTTGGAACCCTCATCCAATTCAAAAGGGCTCTGCTCAATCTTGTTGGCAGTCTTCCTGAACTCTTTCAAAGTCTCTGCGGAAAAGCATTTTGTTCGAAGTGGCGTGGTTGGCTTCGAAGACTTCAATTTCTGCAGATTCACAGCCGGAAGGATGAGAAGCGGCTGCTGGCTCAACCGGCTTGAAGACAGGTATTGCTTCATCAAGCAAACAGCATCATCATCAGAACGGAGATCTTCTGGGATGTCCTCACCAGAAACAAAATGAAACAACCAAAAACCAAAGACTTGTTCTTCCAAACCAAAGACCTGTTCTTCTTGGCAGATTCTATTTTTGTCTTTACGCTGATCTTTGATACCCTCTCCTGATCAACCTGCCATTTCTCATGGCCCTCGTAGAAGCGTAGGTCTCCACGCCGTATGATCCGGAAAGCATGGTTCACCGATCTCTGAGCAGCACTGATTGCGATGCCAGACAAGGACACCTCCAAATCAGCCAGCCATGCCTGAAAGGACCAAGTTGATGGGAGCAGGTCCACTGTGAGCACTCTGCCGGCAGTGGGTGGCACCCTGGCTTCCATCTCCCGCACAAAGTCCTGATAGGGTGAGGCACCACAACAACAACCAACATGCCCACCACATCAAGATCATCATCATCATCATCATCATCCTCATCACCATCAAGCATCAGCATCAACATCACCATCATCATCATCATCATGGTCATCATATACCTTCATCATCACTGGCGCCACCATCATTGCTTTCATCATCATTATCATCATCACCACCATCATCATGACCAAAAATACCACTAGCAACAACAATAGCAAAACACAACAATACAAACCAATTAGCATTACATCAACAAACCAGAAACCATGAAGTAGAACAAAACTTCTCCTTGGGTGTCTCGATCACCTTGACTGCCTGCAAATGATGGGATACCTGTTGAAACTTCTGATCAACTTGATTATGCGTATGTCCAGTGCGAAAGTATGCAAAGCTCACGGACTTGAAGACCTTGGCACTCACGAGGTGGCTGGCCCATAGGCATAAATATTGGTTCCTGTTCTCTCTGCAGGTGTTATCTGCTTGGATGATGAGACTCGGTGGAAGCGGCAAGCCCCTCATCAGAAGCATTTCTGTGATCTTGTCTAATGTGTGGCCTGAGACCAGCCAAACACAGCAAGCAAAATGATTAGAAAATTTGTCAGCAACAAAAGCGGCCACAGCATGCAGCCTCTGGAAAAACAAACTTTCTACATCCATTCGAGGAACAGAGAATTGTGCACTGGTTATTGGAATCTTTCTTGAGGTTGCAATCCCCCAGCCAAAAGCTCTCTGCCAAGCCATAAGTCACCACAAGGACATTGTGCAAAGTTGGCCTCCACATAGCTTCCCATTGCTTGGTCAGAGTGGTGTGCCTGGGCAGCTTGTATTTGCATTCGTCCATGCCATCCAATGCAATGAACAAAACCCGCTTCTCGAAAGGCAAGCTTGTTTCTGGCGATGTGCTCCACACACTATAGTCTGCATAGTGGGACGCCACTGCGCGATCAGCCCAAACCCCTTTCAAGTGCTCCATGTAAGCACTTTGGATGTCATCCCGGGTAGCCTCGGTTGATGCTTTTTGGCGGTGCAGCTTGTATTTGACACAGTCATCACACTTGGCATGTTGATTGGAGCGTCTCACCCTCAAGATGCCACGCCATTCCTTGAAGACAGAATAGAAGACAGTTTGACTGGCAGGTTCTTTTTGTTCTTCCGTGCTGGTGAATTGAGCCAAATACTGCTGGTACAAGTCTGCTGGCTTGCAATGCGGCAACCAGCGCTGTGGTCGACCTTCTTGAAAATCAGCAGCTCCAGGAGCATGCCCCACACCCAGAACCCACTCAAAGAATTCATCAGTCACAGGCTCAGCTCCATGGTCTGTCTGACTTTCATCTTCTTCCAGTTTGGTCTCAGCCAGCGGTTCTGCCAAATTCTCATAGGCCCATTCCAGCCATGAGTTCACTGAAGCAACTTGTGGCTTTGCACGCACCTCACGGAGTGACCGGCCATCAGGCGGTGTAGTGGTTGCTCCACCTTTGATTGCCTGAAGCATGCCCCGCACAAAGTTCTTGCTGACGTTGCACAAGATCAGAAAGCTTTCAAAGCAAACCATATGCCCCATGAATTTGAACTGGCGGATGTCACCAATAACACCGGTCCGTTGGTCAACTGCCATCTTCCTCAACAGGTCAAAGAAGAAGTTCCTGCGATCAACATGGCTCTTTTCCCCAACCATTTCCTGGAACTTATTGACCTCTTCCTGCTTAGCTGGTTCACGGAAGATGTCCATGCCGTGTTTGTTGCAACCACATTCTCGGCCTGCCCACCTGCCAGGTTGTTGGGGCTTCAGGACAAGTTACCAAAAGCGCCCAGTCAGGTTGCACGCTGCCTAAATAACGCCCAGATAGACACACTAGAATTATACAAGCATAGACCCCAAACAGCTTCAAAACAATTCAACGATTCGTTTAAGACCAATATTAGTCAAAAAACGATTTCTTGGTTCGCCCTACTTTCACCCCAAGAGCAAACTGCTTCATCAATGAATTTTTGTCGGCATTGACACTGAAACACTGAAACATTTTTGGAGGAGCAGCTAGTATTCATAAATATGGGAGGTGGAAGAAGATATAGAAAACTAAGCGAGGATCAAAATGGCGGAGAGCTGCTCATTATTTATATATATGGGAGGTGGATGGAGATATAGCAAACTAAGCTCAGAAAACTGAAACAAAAACTTTTTGAGTGACCCTAGTTTTTATTTTGTCCTTCTTGGAAAGGCGCGGACGCAGAGCCGGGCCACAGAGCCCAGCCACAGAGTTCAGGGGCGCGGCCAAGACAAGGACAAGAGGAGGACAAGACCCGGACACAGAGCCGGGCCACAGAGCCCAGCCACAGAGTTGCTGTACACTAGGAGGACAAGAGGGGGACAAGGCCCAGCCACAGAGTTGAGAGAGTTCAGGGGCGCGGTCACGAGGAGGACAAGAGGAGGACAAGGCCCAGCCACAGAGCTCAGCCACAGAGTTGACAGAGTCCAGGGGCGCGGCCAAGAGGAGGACAAGGCCCAGCCACAGAGCCCAGCCACAGAGTTGACAGAG